TTTACAGAGAGAGTGGTGAGGTACTGGAACAGGCTGCCCAGAGAGGTTGTGGATGCCCTGTCCCTGGAGGTGTTCAAGGCCAGATTGGATGGGGCCCTGAGCAGCCTAGTCTAGCATTAAATGAGGAGGTTGGTAGCCCTGTATGTGGCAGGGGGGTTGGAGATTCATGATCCTTGAGGTCCCTTCCAATCCTGCCCATTCTGTGATTCTGTTACTCTTACAGTTAGCATCTCTAGGTTACCATCCTCCTAGAAATGGAGGTCCTCTTCTGCTGAATGGGAACTGCTGAGTCACAGCCTGAACCACCAATTTATCACCTGGGGAAAGGACCTGGTCAGCCCTGGGAGTGCAGGTGAAGGCAATTCATGTGTGTGACTGGAAGGGCTGCAGCCTGACTGCACCTCTCTTAGACCTCATTGAAGAGCAGACTGCAACTGGAAAAGGATCTTTTTCTGGAGATCTCTCCTTGGTGAGGCTTTCCCCTGCACACCTGAAATCTTTCTGATATAGACGAGCAATCACCTTTCCTTCCTTTACAGCACCTCTCTATTGTGCCGGCTCATTCATCATCACACCTTTGTTTTAACACCTTTCCCACTGCATTGATCTGTGCAGTTGTTACACCTGCTTGGCACAACTCCATCCAAAAGGCTAGGGGCTAGTCAGAGACAACAAGAAACAGCCTTTCCTTCTTTGGTCCTCCACAGTCAGCTTCTCCAGCCTCAGCTTTGGCCCACGCTCCCACAGGAGAGGGCAGCTTGTATCCTTTATGCATGTTGAGCTGTTAAATTTCAATGCAACTCTCCATTCAACAGACCACAGGGCATCAGACTACCTTAAGGCTTCATGCTGTGGACCCAGCTGAGCCCTTATTCCTTGGTAAAGGCACCAAGAGTGCAGGCCAGCCCCTCCACCCCCTGCATCCTTACATCCAGCAGCACAAATGCAGGTGTGTGCGTAATCAGGAACTAAAGGCAGCTCTTGGTGCATTGCTGGGGCTGAGCCAGAGCGGCCACAGGCAGCAGCAGTGCATACTTGGTGCTCCACACACTGCTGAGGGCCCCCAAGGCAAGCGGGCCTTGACCAGGACACCAGGCCTCTTGGCTCTGCTGGAGGAAACAGGAGAAAAGCCGGCCCACTGGAAACATTCAACATCAGGCTGGACCGGGTTCTGACTAACGTAATCTTCCGAACCTCAGTGCCGGCCCTGGGAGAAGAACGGAAAATGCCACCGGTAGCAGCAGTTCGTCCTGCAGCCCACGATCCGCACAACCAACATGGCCGCCCGGAAACCGATGACACCCACAACGAACATGGCCGCCCGGAAACCGATGACACCCACAACCAACATGGCCGCCGTCAGAGGCCAGCGATCGCATTAGCGCATTTCGCACAGCGGGCGGCAGCAGCGTGCCGGACCCCGCCCCTCCCGCAGAAAGACGATAGGCTCTGTAGCAAGGTCTGTGTGATAGGACAAGGGTTAAGTGGATTCTCACTAAAAGAGGAGAGGTTTAGATGGAATATAAGTAGTTTTACGCTAAGGGCGGTGAGGCACTGGTTGCACAGAGAGGCAATGGATGCCCATCCCTGGACACAGCCAAGGTCAGGCTGGGCACTTCTCCTCTTGCCCACTTGTCACAGAGAACTGTGAGGAATTAGAGAACATCATGCTTTAGTATAAAGTGCACTTGATGAAAGGTGAAACATGAAAAAAATTCATGTTGATTAAACACAGACAATACCCACATCTTTGCAAGGAAAAAACTATTGTTTCCATTTATGCATCCTCCCCCCTAGAAAGTTTCAAAACATCTACCTGGTGTGAAGGAGGGTGGACTTCTGTTTTGTAGGTTATTTGGAAATCCTACATCCTAGAAACAGCTAGTACTTCAATTTGGTTAACAGAATAACATTAACACACTTGAATTTTCCAAGTTGTTTACCCTTTAAACTGCAAACATTACCCAATTCTCAGTCACCGTTGACCATCAATAGCACTAAAGTTTTAATTAGGGCATCTAAAAAAAAAGTTTCTCTCTTGATAGCAGTCTTGAAAAGAAAAAAAAAAAGGGGGGGGGGAAATGGGAAGAAATAAGAAAGCACAGTAATTCTTTTCCTCGTTGACAAAAAGCTCAGGTGCTTGGCAGGAGCGTTCTTTGGAAGGGGAAATTAGATAAGTAACTGCATGTTCTTTAATCTTAAAGAATAAAACATCTTTGTGTGTGCTTACTTACTCCCATCTGGCAGTTCACCACAGACACAACAAGATGCATAAACTGCACAATTAAGTTTTAACTGCTATTATTTTCAGTAAGAAACACGAGGGAGTAAAAAAAAAATACAAAACAATCCCATTCATCAACAGCCATCTGAACTTTTACCACATTAAAAAAATAAAATCATACAACATCAGAATGTTTCCATTTAACTTGAGGCAGAACAAGGACTTATAAGCATCTTCATCTGCCCATTGGTAGCTTAGTGCTCTAGTACTGCCACTACACACTGTAGCCTAGTTGCTTTCATGTATTTACTGCAACTTGATTTAATGATTTCAAGATGAATGAAAAATCCACTCTTTGAAGAAAAAGAGCAACAACAAGACACCCCAACACCGTAACAAAAAACAAGTAATGAAAGAGCAAGTCTGAGATGGCCTCACAAGACTGAAGGTGTAGAAGTCTACGGGGCCAGATGATATACAACCTGGGGTCCCAAGGGTTGATGTCGTTGCTCAGCTGCTCTTCATTGTATTTGAGAAATAACGGGTATCTGATTAAGTCCCTGGTAACTAAAGAAAGTGAAACATCATTTCTATTTTTAAGAAAGGGAGAAAGGAGGATCTGTGGAATTACTGGCTTCTGTACCTGGGAGGATCACAGAACAGATTCTCTTGGAAAACACGTTAAGGCACATGTGACACGAGGAGGTGATGAGACAGACAGCATAGCTTCATCAAGGGCAGATTGTGCCTCACAAGTCTCACCTGTGGTAGTGAAGGCATCGGCGGACAAAGGAAGGGCAACTGCTGTCCTCTACTTGTGGAAGGCCTCTGACATGGAACCCACTTTATCTCTAAATTGGAGAGAGATGGGTTTGAAGGGTGGGCTATTTCACAGATAAGAATGTTTGTTGCAGCCAGAGGGTTACGGCCAACGGCTCTTTCCAGGTGGAGGCCAGTGACAAGTGATGTCCCCCTATGGCTCACTCTTGGAATCAGCACTCTTCAACGTCTTTATCAGTTACACAGACCAGACATTTTCAACCTATAGCCTGGCCCAGACCATTTTATAGCCACCCCCCATCTCGTGACATCATGGTGGAAGCTGAGACCCACCGAGCAGCCCAGCCTGGCCCCAGCCACACCACCATTGCTAAGCAACAACCACACACTGGTGTGTAATGGGCACCATCTGAGCTGAAACCAGGGCAGTGGGAGGGTGCAGGGCAGTGCAAACTCAAGTGATGGCAAATAACTGCATTTCAATACACTGGCTAAGCACAGTCCTGTGAACAACAAAAAATATGCAGCTGTGCTTTCCCTTTTGATAAAGGAATTTGAGAACATGTTTCAAAATTGCAAGAAAAAAAAATCAATTTTTTGATATACTTGCAACTCCATTTTCAGTCAACATATTACCTGCAAATTTTCAAATAGAATGGATAGAGCTGCTAAAAACTAACAGAACCAACTGTGACGTTAACATCTACCTACCATAGAAAGAGTGTTGTTTTGGCAGGGGGTTCTAGAAAGGTTGTTTCTTCATGATGAAAGTGAGCATTAGCTCACAGACATGCATTCACATTTCCTGCTCCATGCCCTCAAATCAGTATGTAACGCTGGAACAATGCATGTGCTGTACATGCCAGGTACAACTGCCACAGAAGGCTGAGGTTTATGGAAGATTACAGCCTTCAGGATTAAGAAGCAAGAAAAAAACAGAAAGAAAAGCAACAGCAAGCCAGATCTGACTTAGGCTGCTGCAGGTGGCATTTTATTTTTCAATATATAAATGAATTCACATCTAATGTGAATCTAAATATATCTAAAGTGTTAGCTTTTCTGTTAAGGCTCTTACTAGCACAATTTAGTGATTATTTCTACTTCATTTCTTCTGCCTTTTCCATTACTTCCCTATGACAGGCAACCAGCAGCAAAAAATAAAAACCAAACAAAAGCTTTTTCTTACTTCTCAATATTCAGAATATCCAACTCTGAGAAGAGATGGAAAAGATTATTTTTAAAAGTCCAAAGTCATTCCAGAGTTTTGGTATCATCTGTTTCCTGGCATTACAAGAAGCAAGAAGTGTTTTGCACAGCAAAGTGAATTGTTCTACCGTTCAAAAGACAATTGCACAAGATGAGACAGTGGAATCATCTTGATGTGGTCTAAGCACGCATTTCCATTTTTGCCCTCTTCGCTTTCCTTAGTTTCATGCCTCAAATTTCGAGTTTCTCAATACTTTCCATCTCTGCCCCCATCCTTCCTTCCCTTAATAGACCTGCCATCACGTGAATATAGGAGAGATTTATTCAGCAGTGAATGTCAGTCTTAACTTTGCAACACATGGTTCAGCAATCAAGCTGTCTGCACACTCCAAGTCAAGCATGTTACATAGAATGACTGGCTCAATCTTGGAACCATCAGCTTTAAATCTCTTCCTATGCATGTTACTTTGTATAATTAACACAGTGGTGATACACAAGTTAATACCATACTGAAAAAGGAGAAAGAATTAGTTAACTGATATCAAGCCTTGAGAGTATCACTGCTGCTAACTAACATCACAATTACTCTTCTGTTTTGGTCTTAAGCAAAATTACTTCATGCATCAAAATCCTCACAAACTATTTTATGTAGCACAATATTTACTTATTGCATCCTCCCTTGGCAAAGACTTGGAAAAGGAGCAACAGCACAACAGAAAACGTTCAGAAGTGTGAACCATTTCTAAAAATGAAAACAAATTATAAAAATCACAGCACGCAACATCTGAAATTATATTCAGTATTACAATGTATTATGTGCAAAATTCACCATTTGCCTTTTACAAAATGAAATACAAACATGTGCCAGAGGTTTCAAATACATGGCAAACTAACATTAAAAATGCTACAGATCTTTGTATGTACAATACACGTGTTGCTTATGATGTATTTCTGCAATCATCTGCCCACACAGGATCTGGAGAAAACTCCATTACTCTCTAGGAAAAAAAAAAAAGAAACAAAAAGCCAGCCCTACCTGACTTCAGGAGGACCCACAGCATCACCCACAGCACCAGCTATCTTGCACAAGCCTACAGAACACACATATTCAATACCATTTTATCTTTGTATACGTAGGACTCTGACCTTCACATGTCACCTACTGAGTTACTTAAGAGTCATGAAATGCTACAACATACTCTTCAGTCCAAAACACATTTTGATGGTGCTGACAGACTGTACAAAATGGTTAGTGTTCTCATTCACTGTACTGATACATCTAATCCTCTGCTAACACCAGCAGTATCTGGGATAGGTGCTGTCAAATTCCTCTGCAAATCTACAATAAAATTTACATGTAAGTTCCTTGCCAACCTTTGCTCGTTTTCTGCAAGGAGCCTGAACCAGCAGACTGATACATTTTAATCCCAAATTCGGTTCTTAAATTCTTTCTCTGCCCCTTCTCTACATCCTCTTTTTTCAACTTCCCCTTCCAACCACCCAGTTCTATCTAAAACAATGCATATAAACAACAGTCCAGATAACAGTACCTAAAGTTCTGATAAGGGCACTGAAATCACCAGTGCCAATGTTACAATCTTCTTACACATAACAGAAATGTCATAAACTCTCCCGTAACAGGAAAAGAAGAGAAACCAAAAAGACTTTTAATGCAATACTCTAAAACCAGCAAGAGATTTATTCTTGTATATTAAGTGTTAAAATCACATGCATAATTATAGAATATTTTATAGTTAAAAAAATATTTTAAAAAACAACCCTGACAGTTTACCTGCAACTGCTATAAAATTTCTAGGAAATATATATAAAAACATGGAGCTTTTCTGTAATAATAAAAAAAAAAAAATTAGAAAAGGATGCAATCATCCAGGTAATGAGCTAACTGATGCCCTGCATCGGACAGTCTTGTCCAACTCACGCTGGTGAAACTGAGCACACACCAGAGAGTTTACTGAAGTAATTATCTAACATACGTCTATTTAAATCAAAGTGACATTTGGCTAAAGGATGAGTGTAAGAAAATAGATTTTGGCACACTACAGCAAAAAGAACTGCAGAGGGCCACAGTATAATATGTTTCATTTCAGGCAAGTCTGTGGTACAAGAAATTCAGCTTCATGGGCTGCTTACTGCTCAGGTGGAATATTCTGCACAACTAGCCATATGCATGGTTTACACGTATTATTGTTTTTTCTAAGCAACACTAGATGTGTCTGCACACATTTCCCTAGGCATTTGTAGTTTAAAACCTGCATAGACTGTTTTGGCTCCTAAGGCAGGGAGCTAACAAGGTTATTTTCAACAGGTAAGCAAACAGAAGTTAAACTGTCAATTGCTGGCTTTAAGAGGCAGAGTCGTCGTTCTGAAAAATGGCACTGTAAGGATCACTGTTAATACGCTTGTAGACAAAGTGAAAGACCTGGGGCTGCGGACGGCTGTGCAGTTCAGCCTTTATCTTCTGTGGGTAGGTATCTTCCGTCAGTTGCTGCCAGGTGTCATCAATAAAAAGAAAGAGGCTATATTCTTTCGGGTTGTCCACTTTAAACTTCTCAGCACAGAGCTGGCATACATCTTCTGTAGTGATATACGGTCTTACTAGTAAGGTCTTTCCTGTGCATCCACTGTTAACTTCCTGGAATGCAACTCGAAGGTAGTTCTGTTGGATGAGAAAACAGGTGTCAGAAGAAAAAAAAACAACACCAAAATAAATATCCTCTGAAAATTCAAGAGTCAGCAATGAACAACCAAACATCCTTGTGTTCCAGTTGTGAAACACATACCACTGGTTCCTGTAAATTCTGACCACCTTGTGAATTGCAATGTTGGTGGTGAAACTGGCAAATCTGCAGCTGGGCATTACTGAAACTCAGCAAGCCAACATCCCCCTTTCCTTGCTTTGCATTCTAGCTCTGCAATTAGGAGTGAACAGACACAGCCCTAAAGACATATGGAAAGTCCCAGCGATTTTAACAGGACTTCACATTAGGCTTTAACAGGAAACAAAATGCTGAAAAGCAAAATAAATATCTGAGACAGCACATCCAAGAGATGCTGCTAATGCCACTGCTGGATCACTGCAGAAAACCAGAAACTTCATGCAATATGTTAGTCAGAAGCAGAAAAAAAGCCTCAGCTAATTTCAAGAAAACAAAGATGTTTGTCCACGAGCTACTACATGATAAGCAACTCTTTGCACTGATGCTGTACCATGCACAAGGTAATTCAGCCTCATGCACGACATTTTCGTTGAGTTTATCAGTGTCTGAGTCTGATATGACAAATTTTGTAAGATGGTGTTTTCCTTCTCCAAAGAAGGCACAAAGGGATGCTGCAGAAAGAATAAATTTACTCTGCTGTATTTGAGTAAATTTAGATGATCTTGAGGCAAAAGCTGGATCTTTTTTCCTCTACTGAAATTGACATAATCCCACAAGTCTGACATAACACATCATGTCACTTTTTTAAAAAAAGAAATTAACTAGAATTGAAGACTGTCTAAAGCAAACTAGGAAAGTGAGAAAGACCTGCTTGTTGAGTGAGCTGTTATCTGTCCGTATGCTAAATAAAACAAGCATGCCAAACCTGAAGAAGTAGGGAGAAAAAAAAGCAGCACTGCACACTTCAGTTTTAATTTCTAATGTAATTAATGTACAGAAGGTGTGTTTTTAAATGCATGTGCATTCATGCAGGTAGGAACGCTCCAAGAAGAGGCCAAAGGTTGCCTGTATCTCAGAGTTAAAATTATTTATGCACTATTAGAAAGTTGTGTTTAATCCTCATCAACATATGGGATTTTTGCTTTTGATGACCCTTTGAGGAATGGAGAATGAAGGTCTTCAAGTTTCACTGGGCTGCAGCACAGAAGCACAGCGAGTGCATCTTGGTTCAATGGGAGAAGAATTAATTGAGCTGAAGTCACTTTATGCTTCTGTCATAGGAAAGGTACTTTATTTCAAGGACTGTAGGATGATGAGAAAGAGGAAGGAAAAGTGGCATTCTGAGTAGGCAGCAGAGGCTCTCTTTTAAAAGAGACAACAGAAGAAGCACTGTAGAACTTCAGTGCCAGCTCTTCTCCTAATTCCTGCATCCTCCCAGACCCAGCACAGCATCCAGCTGTACAGTTGGCTGAAGTTGACTTGCTGAGGAAGGGAAGAGTAAATGGCATGCAAGATCCTGCCCAAAGAATCTTCTGCAATTTAGGCATCCAGCAGAGACCCAAGGAGGTGGATTTTCCTACGATGCAGTGTTTTGTAAGAAAGAACATCAGATTCAAGTAGGCTGAGACTTAACACAGGTAAGCACAATAAAGAATGGATCCCAGTAAGACGGACTAACTTTGTGCACTGGCTGTAGTTTGGCATTTCTGTTGATCAGCTCTCTTCTTAAGACACAAATTGCACAAGACTGCTTCTTTTCTCAGTTCCTTCCTGTTCAGTGTTGATCTGTAGTTCTTTATATGCACTCTGATAATGCAGAAGCAGCCTGAGCTGAAAGGTTTCATTACCTTTTGGATTACCCCACACCTTCACTTCTCAAGTGCTTAATTATGTCATAAATAATTGATGGTTGTCACTAGAAACTTTGTGCAGTGAACCACAGAAAATTGAAATGAAGAAATTAATCTTCCTTGATTACATCATCTTCCTCTCTTCAGTCCACAGAATCCCACGGCCTTATGTGGAAAAATAAGCAGGCCTGATTTTTAAAGATGAAATAATTGCAACTTTTGTTATTCTTCGGTTGAAGTTACTGACCTACTCTGAAAGAGCAGTAAGAAATGAAGAAACAAACATGAAGACATCCAAGTTATAGAACACTACTCCTTGCACTGACTTTAAAACCGTAGACAACTACTTTCCCACCTCTCCACTCTGCCACCTGCTGTATGCCACCATGAGCTACTGGGGAGCTGTGCTGATTCATGTACCACTGGAGTTCCAGATCTGTTTTTTTTTAGCAGTAGAACATACAAAAAAGTTACATCGAGATATGATTCAGTTTGTCCATGTTCTGAGTGACTCAAATAGAAGGGTGGTTGGGAAAAATGTATTTGGTACTTTCTCCAGACATCATAATTGAACCCTGTTATAAACTACAAAGACTTCAGAATTGAGGAAAATTTGCCAGTCCTATTCTCAGCACTGCCTCAACCCAGTTACCTCATAACCCCAGGGCAATCATAACGAATCATAACTTTCAAATGGGGATTTCCAACAGAACAATTATTCCTGGCTTTTCTGCTTAAGCCCTGAGCTCTACCTGAAAATCATCAACCGAAGGTATCGTCCTGTTAGTCGTCCTCCTTTTGTGCCATTGCCTGAGAGTATCTCTGGCTTCTGAACTTAGCAGTCTGGCAGCTTGTTCTTCCTGGAAATTCTTGATCAGGGAAAGTGCTCCATAAGCACTTGTCAAGTAATAGCCTCCTGTGAAGGACAGCAAGGGAAAAACTTCTCAGAGCAGTCACAAACACAATTCTTAGGTATGTGATAGACTCTGTATTCTACTGTCAAAATAATAATACATAAAACCAGCTCATTAGCCTGCTAAATATTGAACAGTGTGTTCCTAGTTGTTAAGAGAGATGTAGTAGGCAGATACAGTCCACATTACCAAGCAGTGAAACAGTATCTAGCTCTTGGTCCGCTGGTACTGGGAACAGCTGGTTCCTTAAGGGACTTACTGTCCTCCCAAGCTTCAAGAACTGATGACATAAACATCTGTCTACTGCTTAATCAAAATGAAAGACTGTTCAGGAACATAAAAGCAATAAAGTAATGACAGAGTTTGCTGCACACCCAGGAAGCACATCAGAGTTTGATCTATTTTTTAGAAATAAGGCTCTGGTTTCAAATAGCAGTCCTTTAGTTTTGCATTAACTTTTATATACACAAGACCTATGAGCCAAAGTGGACAATACATTACATTTAAACTGCAGAACTGCAAAGCACTAAACAATTTTTCCTGTACAGCACAGATCTTCAGCTGGAGCTGAAGACAGCCGAACAATGGCTGGACTACTTTTGTTGAATTAAAAAAAAAATCAGTAAAAAGTTCAGTAAATGTAAACATGTTTGTGATCTCCAGTTTCATATCTCAAGTATTTTCCAGGCAAAGACACACGAACAATGAATGCACTTAGAGGATGCCCCACACACAAAGGCAGGGAACTCACTAGTTCCAACTGGGAGGAATCCCAACAAGGCTCTTCCATGCATAACATCATGTAAGAGGATACAGCAATTTCATTAAGCCATAAGACAGCAGGGATGTGCAACAAATACACATAAAATCACAGCTGAGTTTGGTCTAAAGAACCTTTACACTTCCTCATAAAATGAGGGATTGTGTGGCCTATCAAAGGCTTGCAGAATACCTGTTTGTCAAAAACATCATCAGGAAAGCAGAAGGGAGATTTCCCTTCCTCTAGCAGATTTCAGCCAGTCAAGTGTGCCTTAGGAAACACATTCCTAGGGCTAAAAAAAACTTTGTGAGAAACAAGTATTGGCAAGAAGCAAAGAAGAGAATATCTTCTTAAAAGCACTGAACCTGGCAAAGACTTCTCCAAGAAGTTTTTACTAAGTACCTAAGCCAATCTCCATTACATGTCTCAACTTAACTGAAAGCTGCAGCCCTATAAATACCCTCGGGATATTTTCAGGCATTGAAGGATAAACACATTCGGCACTTGCACAGTGCATGTGCTTGCTTGCCAAGTCAGGATGCCTCTTCTTTCTTGGCCAGAACCAAGATATTCCTTCCTAAGGTCGTATATACCAGTAGACTCTCCTTGGCCACTCAAGCTTATACGCTGCAAACAAACTAGCTCTTATTTAGATGCTGCTACTGGCATCACTGGCATCAGGATTTCCATTGAAAGTATTCCTAATTGAATAAGGTAAAGATACTGCATAGTGATGCAAAGTCTCCCTTCCCATGCCCTTTACTAAGTTCTAATTAAAAAAAATAAACAAATGTTACCTTCTCCATGCAGCAAAGATGGATCCAGCAATTCCATCATGTACTCAATTTCAGTATCCAGCTCCAGCATGTCACACTGAGCTAATACATACGTCAACACAGGCAAGAAGTCATCAGCTCCATACAGCCTCCCTGTGGTGAAGGAAATAAGCAGTGATACACAAACCACACCTTTTTCTCAGTTTTGTCACTTGAACATAAAGCAGTATTTTGCTGCCTTTCTGATCAATGTTTGTATTACTTTGCAGTCTTCTATTATCAACGTGTGGCAAAGAGAATGTCATCTGGCACTCAACAGACAGGAGACCAACACCCATATGATCCTATACTTCCAACAAACAAATCTGATGACATGTGCCTTGAAGCATGCAAGAGAATGTAAAGACTGGGCTCAGCTTGGCATCAGTTCAGCTGGTCAGCTCCCAGAAAGCTGCTGTGCCCAACGTCTAGCCTGATCTCCAGGCTAAAAAGATGATGAACAGGCATTTTATTGTTTTGTGCAGGAACATCCACTTTCTGGGAAGAACCAGTCACTAATACCAGTTTGAGTCTGAATCCCAGCAGAGTCTTGAATATAAAAACCTAATAAACTTCATATGGAATCTCATCTCTTTTCCTTGACACAGCATACTTATAAGTACCAATGAACAAGGTCTAATGCATCATCCTTAACCAGCTGGTGAAGCACTATCAACAAAGCAGTACGTAGCTGAAGTACAGATTGTGCTGTACCTACATCTGTCTGCCTTCCTGCCACTTTTACTGCATTTAAACTTTGCTTAGAAATGTTGATGAGGCCAAACCCCAAGACTTGGCTGAAGTGTGTTCACTGCAGAACCAGTATAAAGGCCACTTGAAACCAGCAAAGGCAGGAATCACACCTTATTCTTTGGCGAAACTGCAGATGACCTAAAGGCTGATCTAAAGTTAAACCAGCTAAAGCATATCCTCCAACTATGGAAGGTAAATGGCTGAGAGCACACAAAGCAGAAATTAACAGGCACAACTGGCTGTGCAAGAGTTAGCTAGCAGCAGTCTCTTCACAGTTCTCTTCTGTGTGTTGGAAACGCCTTACACAATGTGATAACAGCTGCAGCACTTCAGGCCAAAATTCCCAGATGCATTTTAAAATGCAGAAGTTTGCACAGAATGTAAGTTGGGCAGGACCTTGGACCTAAATGCACTTCAGACCTAGAGGCACTTTGATCAGCACCAGGTCCAGCTTCAGATTAAATGTCCGTTTTGAAAACAAACTGCCTACCACCACCAGAAGCTTTTATTTGCTTAGGGAAAAAAAAAGCTACCCTACGAGCAGCACTGATCACCTTAACTCATGACCTACCACCACCATGTACTGTAAAGTCTCCATGCAATAACATAGCACCCTTGCAGCTGTTTTATTGTATACTGTAGTTGTTTTATTGCATACTGCATTTAATTACGACACTGAAATATTGGGTGTGCCCTCAATTACAACTTTCCAGACAAATACTCACTTGGACTCAGTGTTGAACTCAGTGCTCACACACAGGACAGCCTTTCTGGCAGTCCCAGAAGTCTACAGTTAAGCAAAAAATTTCTATTTATTTAATTATTTTATGCTGCTTCACAAGCCTACTTCACACTGAATCTGCAGGCGTGCTGCCAGATGCATCAGAGATAACAGGAAAGAAAAGGAGAGGAAGAATCCCTCTCAAAAAGACAAGGTGACACACTTTGAGAGCTCTAGGACAAGATGTATATTGGTAAAACCCTGCGTCGTGTTTCCTGCATTAAAACACAACTCCAGATTTGGAGCTCAGTGAGCTTGAACGACAAGAAGCACCATACCTGAGTTATTCTCCATAACTGTGTAAATCAATTTGCAAACTCTCAGCAGCAGCATGACTTTCTTTTCAGGCGAGTACATTTTCTGCATGGTCATGAACTTGACTTTAATCTTCTCAACATCCACAAAGTCTGGTGTTGGAACAAACACGCCCAGTTCCTGAGGATTCCTCTGCCGTACCAGCTGCAGGTTTTCCTTTAGCTGTTTCCAAGAACCATCTGCAGTATGAAACTCTTTCAACATCGCTTCTATGTGGCCCTTCAATGGCTTCAGAATGCACTTATGCATGGCTTTCTCCAGGACAACATCTGCAACGGGAAACACAAGGCCGGTTGATTTCCTCCTCTAGAGCAGTGCCAGAGTTAATATAACCATTCCCATGACAGATATTGCAGAGAGGAAAAAAAACACAATTGCCAAGACCTATTTATTATACAGGCTGAGTTTCCAGATGTTTGTTAACAAGAAAACAAAGAAGCAGAACAGAATCTGTATTCCATTTTCATTTACCGCCATCTGGTAAACAACAAAAGAAGCAAACAAGTAGAAAAAAAAACACCAAAAAAACCCACCACAAACCCACAGACTGACCCCAAAAAGTAAAAAAAAAAACTATGGCTCCACTTGGCTTTTTTCTTCTGTTGGCCAGAAATCTGAGTTTCGTTTTGCTTTAAGTTTAGACTAACTTCCAAACTCACAATACAACACAGCCAAAACCATAACTTTTATCTGCTTTGGCAAGAAGACTCATTCTTTTTGCACAGTTTCCATCAGAAACTACAACTCAATCAAAATCTCCTAAAAACTTGACTCAGCTTTGTCAAGCTCTTTAAGATCTTTGAAAGATCACGGGCCTTAAACTGTAAGTGAAAAGGAAGCTGTGTTTGTCTCGCTTGAGATTTCATCATGCAAGCCTGCATACAGCTTTGTCATCAACTTTGAAGTTCTTTGTTTGGCAATAGTGTGCACGTGGCACAGCCACTTGTTCTTTTTTATATGCTTGTTCTACTCAAGCTTTTCATTAAGAGTCACACTCCATGTTCAAAGCATGGACCACATCAACACAGAAAGGTCTTTGGCTAAATGTTTTCCCTCCCAGTCTGTATTTTATAAGCTAATTTCCTCCCACCACTCAGTATCCCTATGACAACATGGCTTACATTACTAGCTCACACAAATTATCTGTACCATGCACAAATCCCACAAGCACAAAAGAAACACAGGGCCCTTCAGTTTGATGCAGCAGGACTGGAACCATGGGCAGGCAGAGAGCACAGAGGTCAGCTGGAACATTAAAACTGCAAACCATTTCTAAGGCTTGGGATTTTTTTTTTATTTCCAATAAGTTTTGTCTAATTCTGTTTTCCTTGCCTTATTCTTTCAGACAGTATTTTCCTCATATCTCTTCGTATCTCTTTTCTTTCTCCTCTTATAGTCCCTGTGCTTCATACGTAGCCTTTTTTCTGCTTTTGTCTGGCAGGCAAATCCCAAACTATGCATAAAGGCATCTGGGTTCTCTGTCACAATGCTGCAAAAGCTGCTGGAAGGGAGAAAATACAAACGTGAGGAGCAACATTTGCCTTGATTTTCCTGATTTCCTTATGGCCATGTTACACAGAGTGAAAGGCAGATCCAGCTTCCCATCTGATCAGAGCCACCAATCAGACCACAACAAGTGGCAGCATCTCAAACAAACAGTCCTTATCTATTTACTTTGCAGAGCTACACAGCCACGTCAAACCCTAGAAATGGGCACACTACTCCACATAATAATCCATTAACAATAATATTCAAATAATAATTAGTATTACAGCATCTCTAGGTTGTGAGCTATCCTTTGAGTTGACCTCTTTGCATTTTTCCAAGACACAAATCAGCAAGTTCACGTTTACTGCAGAAATAGCCAACTCTTCAAATATCCAACAATAACATATCAGATGTCCAATAGGTCCAGGGTACTCAGTGTTTCAGAAATAACAGTCACTCAGACTCAAAAAAAAAAAAAAAAAAAACCAACTAAACCAACAACAACAAAAAAAAAGGAACGGAAAAAATACAATTTAAGAATCACTTAATGTTCCTGAAATGATACTTAAATAAGCCTCTAGCCTCAAAATGGGAACTGGAAATGCTTTGATAAATGAATTGTAAGGCCAGCCAGCTAGTTTCGTTGTGACTTGTGGAAGCACATCTGTATCCGACGCTGACATGCTATTTTATTTTTTCCACTGCAAACCACACAGCTCTGATTCTAGAGAGGACAACATATCAGTAACAGCAAGTGTCCTTACATGCCCTCCTACAATCCCTGCTGCCTCAAATTGCACTGTCTCAATTCCCCACTACCAACTTGTGTTGCTCCACTGGCATCACCTGTTAGTTCCCAGCCTCTGGATTTACATGCATGCCCTATTTATCACCTAATATTGGTCCAACTATTCTTTGGTAAAAGGATTCAGTGGAGAGACAGACAGCCTCAGATCCATTACAAAAAGCACAAGCAAAATTGCCTGGGATGCTAAAGGCAAAGGGTTGCTTTGGTTACGCCATCTCCACTGGTGCAGATCTTACAAGAGCAGCATGCAGGCTCTTGTTCATCACTGGCAAAATGCACAGCTAATGCTGGTGACCGTGCTGAAAAATAATGTGCTGTAATTGAGAACTTGCTCTGTCGAGTAGTGTTATTGTGCTCTTTGTATCTGTTGTCATTTCCATGGAAAAAAACAGAAGGCATTACTTTCAGCATGACCTCCAGGATGGCCAAGTGCCCAGTTCCTGGCATATGTCAGCACTGACACATAGCTAGCCCACGGTGCAGACAGGGATGTCTCAAAAGGAGCAGTGTTTGGAAGTAAGGCATCACACACCCACACATCCTGCACAGCCCTGTGCAGTGGCAGAAGCTGACAGACTAGAGAAGAAAATGGTCTCCGAGATGAACCTTCCCTTGCTTTGCCTGCAGAAAGCACACCAGTGAGTCACAGATGTATTTGTTCTAGGTTTGTTTTGCTTTAATCAGACAAGCTGTGGGCTGTTCGAAATTCATGCTATGGCTGTGTGGTAAATGAGTCCTCTCTTAAAAAAGCAGTACTGAAGACACAGGGAAAGCCACAGAACAAATCAAAGAGATGGCCAGGAACAGGAGAACCAAACCCATTGCCTTTGCTCAATGTTTTTACCACTGCTTCCTGCTCACCTCCATAAGGTTTTACACTTTGGAGAAGTGTTCTTCAGTGACCTGGAAGAAGGTTGTAGTGAGATGGGGGTCAGCCTCTTTTCCCAGGTAACAGTGACAGATTTAAGTTGCACCAGGGGAGATTCAGGTTGGCTGTTAGGAACAAATCCTTCTCCCAAAGAGCAGTGAGGCAGTGGCACAGCTGCCCAGGGAATGGTGGGGTCACCTGGAGGTGTCCCAGAGCCGAGGGGATGTGGCACTGAGGGACGTGGGCAGTGGTTAGGGTGGGGGTGGACTGGGGTTGGTGATCTTAGTGGTCTTTCCCAACCTTAATGATTCTGTGATTCTAATGAGAGGGATAATGGAGGGTGAAGCCACTTAACTCAACATGGAAGATACAAGGATGAACAACTATGGAAGGGAAAAAAAAAAAGAACACATAAGCACTTAGAAATAGCTCAGCCAACAGGAGGTTTTCAAGAAGAAATAATGGCATACCATTCTAATTCCTTTAAGATAACAGTCAATGAAAAAGATCAGGTGGTTGTCTGTATCTTGACTTTTTTGAGACCCTCAACCCTATTCCATGTGGCTTTCCTATAAACAAAGGAAATATGGTCTAGCTGTGGTTATTATAAGGAGGGTATGTGAACTGAAAATGCTGCACTTTCTGGGAACTCACTAACAGTTTACTGTCAAACAAGAAATGCTTGAAAAAATTAGTATGAACTGAAGAAAAACACTGACTCTCCACAACAAGAGTAAAAAGGCAAAAAAAAAACCAACAAAAAAAAACAACCCAAAAAACCACACGATGAAAAGTGATTAAGCACCTCACAGAAGAAAAACTGAATTTCAGAGTCCTGTGACTATTTCAGCAACTATTTTGATGGGGTCTGAGAAAATAACATCCCCCAGTGAGACATGCTAATAACAGCAAGGTCATAGTCAAGTGGCAGGAAGCAGACCTGGCTTGACTGTGCCAAGGCCAGCCAGCTGGAGGCACAGAGACCAGGCAACCCCACAGGGAATGCAGGGCTGGAAACCAGAGCTGGAAAGGGGATGAATAAAGTAAGGTCCTCAATCACTGAGGTGCCACATGACAGCATCCTAGAAGTAAAAAGCTGCTGCAGCAAGGACTGCTGATGATTCCCATGTCCACTGTCAGTGGAAATAGGTACAGGGAGATGAAGTTAGGCAAAGGAAAACCTTTCTATGTCTGGGAATAGTTAGCAGGCTTTCTCTGGAGGCTTGGGACTCCTGATCATCAGTGGAGGCTTTCAAGCACTGCCCAAAGTGGCCGACCCATGGGCACGAGCCATGCTCTCTCCTGCACCCACTGGCTCCTCCTGACCGACCCTGATCCCCCTGTCACAGCACTGTCCTGCTCCTAAGAACTCTCCCCACATCTGATATCCCACACTGAAAAATCCATCTTGCATTAGAAATAGCAGAAGATATAACAGGCAGCATTCTTTCCAGGCAGCTTTATATGCAATCAGCCAGATTCCTTAAAGCTGACCATTCCTGGCTTAGGCCCAGGTTCAGGCACTGGGACCCTGTCTGTTGACATCTGCCAACAGTGACTGCTCACTCAGCACCAGTGACACCACCTCCCAAACACCTGCTAGTTGAGCAGGATCTCCTCAGCCCAGCCCAGCATATTCAAGTGTGGATGACTTTCAATATTTTTTGCATTTACTTTTGAACAATAAAAGCCAGATACCTTTAATTCCATCCCAACACTGGGAATCCTACTGTTCCAGGAAGGCCTACAATTCTGTACTGAAATAGTCGAGTAAAAACCTGGATAGCAGGCAGAGCTGCTCTTAAGCTCTCTATAGGAACGACTACATCTTGCTGTCACATAGTTATCTGCTGAGATCAGCAACATCTGATGCTCCTGATTCACTTCCAGGATCCAGCAACAGGCAGCAGTTGTTTCAAAAGCAAGTTCATTTGTTTAAAAGCATCCCGCCTTAAACATTAATTGCATTTAGTCACAGGGTCAGAGCTAGACTTTGTCACCGAAGAAAACCAATGTAGTTATTATGTCTCATAACTTCAGCTACTCCAAACTACTAAAACATATAAAAGTAGACATTTTTCCAACCTTCAGAGACTCAGTCTGACTTAACCACACCCTTGGAATGAAAAGTACAAGCTAAACAGAGCTTTGACCAAACTGCTAGTAAATACAGCTTTGTATTCCTTGTCAAATTGCCAATACTCTGCAGAAGGCCAGAGGAAAAGGCCCCAAACACCACTGCTCCAATTGCCTTTTTCTTCCACGTAACACCTACTTAATCTACTTCTTCTAAAGAGTCTCAACTTGGAGGACTCTCAGTGTATATTTGCTCTAGCAGTGCTTATTACTTTTTGCTTGACTTTCCATAAGTGAAGTTCAGGTTACATGAAGCATTTCCTCTCATGCAAGGACAGACTGAAATGTCAACATAAAATCACCCTCTACTGCCAGAGAAAGAACTATCCTGCCAATTTTGCACTGGGCCAACTGTTGGGACACTGGGGTATAGGAGAAAAACAAGCAAATTAGGACTGAAGTGAGCTCACAAGGAAAGTATTTTGCCTCGAGGGATGTTTACCTCCTGAATGTGGCTTATAGGCTCTTTTACAAATACAGCTCACACTCAACAAGGCAGAGGGACAGTGGGATTTTATGCAGCAACAATGATTTCACTTTGGTGGATACACAAGTCTCTCCCTGTTGATAAAACATGTATTCAACCCTATAGCTCATCTGCAACCTTTTATAACCACATACATGCAACAGAGAGATACAGAAATCCAGAGATTAGCACCCCATTCTCTCCTACACACATTTTGTTTTTTCAACTCTATTTTTTTGGTTTGTTTCATCTGCAAGGACAGTGCAGCTTTGCTTGGAGTGAACAAGGCTGGATGAATGAGATTTATTTCCACAGTAAATTGCTACAGAACGCCTCTCTGCTCTTAACTGTCACCCCTTTCTAATAAATTCTAGTTTTGCAGCTACTGTGCATACTCAGCATGCTGCTGAAATTGCCTCAGCTTTGGTGCCAGCATTTCAACTGTTTCAGCCCAAAGGAGGGGACAAAACACACGCTGACAAAGAAGAGATTTTGCAAAATTAGCGGCACAGCAGATTAAAAGTAAGATCATGGGTAAGGAGTCCTATAACTGCTGTTGCTATTTTAAGGATACCTTTTTATAGACAACTTGGTAGCACCAATCTGAGTTGCTAGGTTTTTGTTTTGTTGATGTGGAGTTTCTAACATTTTTTAACAACTGAAATACTCAATGTCTTGAATTCTGACAGTAAAATTAATCCCATCTTTCCAAACTTGCATAAAGAATATTACTGTTAATACAGATTACACGTTTACCTTCCCTTAAAATACAACACAGTACTCCTTACCTATTTGGTCCTCTGGAATCAGCGATTCGATTGGGGGATCAAGTTCAGAGCTTTGGGACAAATAGTTCTTAACTTGGGTCATGAACTGCCGAACTGTTTGTAGCATATCTGTGCTGGAAACGTGGCACTCCTTGTTTTCCTGGAGAAAGCTGATATAGTCCTGTACCAGGCATCCAAAGTAAGTGCGTTTGTCCCGGGACATCTCTGCTATCTTCTTAATCATTCTCTTTTCAGGGGTCATGAAGGAACTGAAAACTCCACTAACTTTCCGTAGCTGGGATTTCACAATCTTGGGGAGAACAAACGAACTGTTTCTTTTCTTCTTGGGTTTCAATGGAGGTGCCATGCTTTCTTGGTCACTTTCCCCCTCAAAATCCTCCAGGCTGCTGTTAGTGTCCCCCTCGTAGCCAAACAACGGCATGCTCCGATCGAAGTCCAGCGAGTCAGAGGAGGAGGTAGAAATGCTCATGTCGCTCAGCCTCTGCCTGCCTCCATTCCAGGGTACGTGTGACTCAGAGCTGCTAACTGCAGTCTTCTTGGAAGCTGTTGGAGCTGGCTGAGGTGGGGGGGTTTCACCTACAACGTCAGCAGCTGCGGGCACACGCACAGAATTGCAGGCGGGTTGAATTGCGGCCGGCTTTGAGCTGCCGCCCTCCACCTCTGCACAAACAGCCTGCTTCTTCAGCCGAGGAGGCGGAATAGGGGTTGGTTTACTCTGCAGCAAATCCAAGTCTCTCTCTTTCTTATGGTTGACTGTTTCTGGCACGCTCGTCTGCTTTATAGTCCTGGAAAGCTGTGGGCTCATGAGGACGCTATTAATAGAAGGAGGTGGTGGCCGGGGTGGGGGGGAGCGAGGCCTCTCAGTGCCATTCACGTCCTGAGATTTCAGGCTCTGCCTTTTCAGACTTCCAGTGACATCCTGGCTGTGCACTTTTAAGAAGAGTGGATTAATGAAACACAGAGCTCCGTTGGTCTGGCTGCACTCCAGCTCCAAGGGCGTTCTGGTTCGTATAGAATGCACTCCATTTATAAGGCAGAGCTGACGCGAGTCTTTGCAAGCACTGTCTGAAGGCCCAGGCTTACGGGGAGGTGAAGCATCTGAGGGGCTGCTGTTAGCTGGAGAGCTCCAGAAATCTGAAAAAATCAGCATTGCATCAGCGTAAGAATGCAGAATAGCACGCAGATGGCTTTCAGAACATTCAGCTTCACGTAGTAAGAAATTCAGACAAGCTTTTATTAACTCAAGGAAAAAAAAATCCCAGTGAATCCCTGAAAGCACTACCAGATGTAACAGCACGCTGTACTCATTTACACGTATCGTAAGAAATGGAGAACTTCAAATCAGAGCACAGAATTAGGCTTAAAAATTAGCTGAGCACAAAGAAAGGAACGGATAATGTAACACAGCAACCCTTATGAATTTGAGGCTAAAATGAGCATGATCTCATTACTAGCATCTCAGTTAAGAGTAAGGCTAGATCCTCAGCTGGTATTAATAAATCCACTCCATTAAAGACAACAGAATTGGGCTGATCAACTCCAGCTGCCTCTTAAAATAACTCAACAAAAACTTTAGTTTGGTTTCCTCTTCAAACAAACAAACAAACCTACAAATGTAAAGATAGCTCACATTCAGCTGCACTGGGTGCACAGTCTTCAGCCACACAGAACAATTGCTCGTGTCTCTTTAAGAGAGCTGGCCTGTGTTTTCAATGGTGACACAGTTTGTCTGAGGTTTCAGACACTCAGCAGCACATAATTAGACCGAACGTGCCATCCCACACCAGCACAGTGTGGAAAACCTGTGCTAAACCAGCAAATTTCAGCTGCTGCCTCTTGTCCCAGCAAAGCATCAGCATGTTTGTGAAACTGAGTCAACAGTAAAGCCCATCAGTTTGTAAAAGTACAGAGACTGAAACCAGACAAGCCCTCAGGAATAACCACCACACCAAAACAAGAGAAGAACAGCAGAGGCAGGCTCTGCTCAAGTTCACCAGTCTTGGCAAGGCTCCTTCTCCTGGACTGTTAAGATATCTTACATTGATTATTGAGCAAACGTGGGCTGAAAGGCATGAATATCCATGGTAGGTCCACGCCTGACAGCTGTACCTTACCTATGGCAGAAGATAGGAAACAGCCCCTGGCAAAAGCTGCAGTCAGAGAACATATGTGAGGAATTTCTTTTTTTTTTTCCCCTTACAGAGTCACACAGCATTCCTGTTTTTCTTTTTTTTTTGTCCTGGCGCCATGACTCTGCATCCTGCCTGCAGCACATCTACCATGTGAGCTGTTACAAACATGAACGATGTAAATAAACATTGCTGCAGGTGAAACAGCAGGAGAGGCCAAAAGAATCTGAAGCATGAAAGAGTTCTGACAGGAGCAGGATGTTTTCTTCTGTGCCTGCTTGTTGCTTAAGAAAGCTCATGGTTAATAGGAAGGGCCCCTGAGAGGTTTGTTTTTTTTTTTTAGCATCTCTTGGGTGTACAGCATCACAGAGCTCACTTTTGTGTGCTGCTTTGCATGTGGACACCAAGAAAATCATTAGAAACTCAACTTTGCTGCTCGGCATTTGCTCACAGAAACCTCAAACTTAACCTGGTATGTAGTAGATAATGGATTCCAAATGCAACCACCACATAGTTAGAGGCTAATCCAATCTCCTCCTCAGTATTCAGAGGCATTAGCTTAAAGAAACAACACACAAGACACAGACAAATGGTTAAACAGTAAGTAAACCATGATGCTTTCAAGTAGTGAGAACAAAGAGTGTGGTTAGTCTGGACAGCTTGTTCAGTATCATCATTCTCCTCCATGGAGATACTCAAATGCTTCTTCATGGACTCCAGGTGTCACTGGAGACCATCTCCATCACCCTGCATCTCAGTCAGACCATTTTTTTCCAAATGTTTATCTAATCAGCAGTTAAATGTTAGTCTGTATTCCCACTAAAATTCCACACTTTCATTTAATCGCCTCACTTTGCAGACAAGAAGTGCAGAAGACAGTTTCTTCTCTAAAACAATTCCTGATTGTCAGCCAATACAGCAAGACAAAATGCAAAGCAATGCAATGCTCCCCTGTTTATGGCTTCTCTGCAAGTTATGCCAAATAGTCCTAGAGAGCCTTGTGATAACACCATGATTTACTGAGGGTCCACTTCTAAATTAAAGATGACTCAAAAGTCTACCAGGACAGAAGACTGCCCTGGCTAACCCTCCCTTCCTGCCAAAGGAAATGAGGCCATTCAGCACTTTGCAGGAGTTGCTCAGTGATTCATTCGGGTTGCGCCCATGTTTCAAATCCTGCCAACCTTTGTTCTGCTGTAAGTTCAAAGTGAATTTTACACTGAGCCTTTAATTGGATGCAGCAATCGTGCTCTTTCAACCAAACCAATGCACGTGGATATGTTCTGTAGATGTTTTGTATACACCCCTCCTTTTATTCATAGGCTACTGCATGAAGCCACAGATGTTGAAATTGCCCTCCTAAAATAAATAATTGTGTCAATCTGAATAGAGAGGTTTATTAATAGTGAATCTCAGTTCCTAGACTATTCCATCAGCCACAGCAAATTATCCAGCTAGTGCCTGCTATGTGAGCCTGCAGCCAACACTCACCCTTAGAGCATAAGCTGCATCAAATGTTTGCCTGAGGATTTTTAGACTTGCTTTGCAGCAGCTTAAGGGGCTACACAGAGGAGAGAGTGAAGGAAGGAAGGAAACAGCACTAACAGAGACATGAATATCACAGAAGATTAAAGAAGGAAGGAAGAACACCAAGGTAACTGCTTGGCGAGTACATGATTTGGCCATCCCAGTAAGAAAAGCTGCTTTTTCAAATGAAATTTGGATCATCACTGGCAAACATGAACCATTTATAGACAGCTTATTTCTTCAAGCTTATAGTGATGCTACAGGGAATGACATCTGTGTAGATGACTACTTACTCAGTCCAAGCTGAGCAATCTCTTCAAGTTCAGCTTCTGTCTTTGCTGCAGCAATAGCATGAGGCAACTTCAGGGTGAATGGAAGAACATCCCTGTTGTGCAACATCAAAGTAAATATGGTTTTCACAACAACATCCAAAGTTTTAAAAGACTTTGTTTTCAACACAGGCTGAGATCCAGTTCCTACTTCCTTCTTGAGTTATAGCAGGTAATAAAAGCCTTAAACAAACAGTGCATGGTGAAAATTTTACCAGTGCCAGGATTCCTCCACACTTGAAAACTAGTGTGAAGTGCAAATGAGTTTCAAGTTTCCAGTACTCCTCTGAGGCTCATTTCCACAGCCCCACCCTATATTTTCTCTTGTTGCAGCAGAATCTCTTACATCTCATTCTTTACAAGTATGCCAGTGAGATGCAAAATGCTATCAGCCTCAATGTTATCTTTTGAATACACTGTTAACTGATCACCAACTTGAATTCCAGTTCTCAGATTAAAAATCTAAATGAGTACTTTGGCAGCTTCCCTAAACACTTCTAAGCAAGGACGTACCGGTCCTACTCTGTTCTATGCTGAAAATGCATCTTATATAAAAAAGTTTTAATCATTTCTCACATTCAGTTTCTCAAAGGGAGATGCATGAGTGGTGAACAATAACACAAGCCAGATCTAGTGTAGAAAGACTTTAAGGTGTAGAACTACTTAGCTACATGTACACTGTGTGAGTACCAACAGTACTTGCCCACCTTACAGGTACTAACATATCCTCAAGCAACAGCACCTGCTAAACCAGTAGTATAAGTACCTATACATAATCATGAGTAAATGACAGCAAATAGATTCCCATAGAATATAAAACCATCTTACCTACTAATACAGTAGAAAGCAATGAGCCTGAATAAATCAGCAAAACTTATTCCAGACCCCTCTAAGGAAAATGCTGCAAAGAAAGTTAGAACAGGTAAAGAATCACCAATCCATCCACTGTTTCTTAGAAAAGCTTAAGTAAATGCATCTCTATTTCTCCCTCTAGAATTAGTAAGTTTACACCATCAAACTCGATACTACATGGCTAATAAAGAACAACCGTTTGGAAGAGCACATGTCGCAGCTACAGCTAGTTTCAAAAATAATGGATAGTCTTGGTGGTGGGTTTCTGCACTTCAAACGTGTGGTCTAACTCCTGGGAAACAGATCTAGTGTTATTAGAACTGCACACATTTTTGGAAAATAAAAAAAAATAACAATTGAGGCTTCACATATTTACTAATGTGCTTAAATCTCACTGATTGCAGTGAGAAATCTCACGCAAGAACCAAAAGGTATCAAGAAGAAGCTCCTGCACTGACACAGTCCAAATCTTCTACCTCTGCATGTGGCTGAGACCAAGGCACTGAAGGAAGATCATTTACTAAATACAACAGTGCCAGAAGACAGGTTCCTTATTTGGTCTTAAGACCAAATGCTGGTCTTAACGAGCTTCAGACAGCTTCTATGAAGGGTTGAATGTGAAGTCTGATTCTTCAGCCCATCCATATGGCAGAAAAGCCAAATGAGAGGGGTGAATCTTATGAAGGTGCACACACAGTTCCAGTTCTGCAGGCAGAGGAATTCTTTTGAAATTCATCTCTCAAGGAAAGTACTTCCTGTGCTGCAGAAGCTTAAGGCATTCAGAAATCTGAAATCAGGCAGAACTCCTGGCTTGCTGGAAAAAGAAGAAGTCATGCAGAAGCTTTGGTTACGCCAGCAATGCCTCTTGGTGAGCAGCAGCAATGCAATTTTGTCAGTACTCCATGCTGCAAGATCAGCTCCCCAAAGCAGAGTTCACCGGTGTCACTGGCCCTGCATGTGGCGGGGGGTTGGAGATTCATGATCCTTCAGGTTTCCTTCCAACCCTGGCCATTCTGTGATTCTGTGAATATGAAGTCTGCATGCATATGAACCAGAGCGAAGTCAGGTACTCATCTTTTACCTAACTGTTACACTGAAGGACTAGCCAAGCTGGCTATTGATGCATACAGGTAAAGGGATTTCAAGAGATGCACTAACACTGCAGATAGTCAACAGGCAGATGATCTTGGCAGGGGGGTAAAGGTTGTTAAGAGGAGATGTATGTTCAGATCCCAGACTGTGGCGGAAAGCTCAACCAGAAATAGTGAGTAAAAACCATCAGTATATACTTCCCCCTTGTGGTAAAACTGTGCTCTTGAATGATAACAATATGCATTTGCTAGAGGGTAGGGAATTAGTATAACAAGCCTAGGAACACAGCCATAGATCACACAGATTAAATACACCCATACTACAGCCAGTTACACTGCTTTCCACATATGTTAAGTCACTTATGTGAAAGAGTGGTGGTTAATTACCCCTCGTTACCAATTAGGCTCCAAATCAGCAATGCCATGATAGAAATATTCCATTTTGTTGGCAGAAATGCAGAGTTAACAGGGGCAATTATTTCGAAAAATAGTGTTCTGTAGCTGAGAATTTACTCTATCAACCAGTTTTATTATGCTCTTATTAGCTATTGTAGTTTATGTGGAAGTAAGAAGGAGGCATTACTTTTGGAGTGACCTACGTATGAATCTGAGTATTTTCTGCTGTGGGTTTCACCAATTCAGACTACTCTTGGCTCACACTGGGAGACAAATAGATGAAAATTCTTTAAAACTTACTGTATGTGCTTTCTTTTATTGCAAATTCCTTCAGGCAGGGCCCACAGTCACCTGGCAGACGCAGAGATATGACCTTCTTCAGCAGTTTTGAAGATTTCCTAACCAAAAATATCTGTTGTAGAGAAAGGAAAGAGAGAAAATTTTAGCTTCATCACAGGTGGCTTAATAGAGACAGATACTGAGGACAAAAGAAACTATAATAATCTCATGATCACTGATATCCTTTACAATACACCTGAGAATTTAATTCAATTCAGTACAGAAATCTACCAGATCTAACAGGTTGGTGAGAAACAGCAGTCAATTGTTTAGAAAAACATTTCATCTCGCTGTAACAGATACATGACACCAAGTTTATTATGCCCTTTTACGAGCTCTCTAGTTTAACACAAAGCAACCCCCAGCTTTGAGTCAAATTGCAGAATCTGGGGGACACTGATGGAGTACTGCTGCGTCACAGCAGCCCGTTCATGCAATTCTTCTGCAACAGGATACAGAAGCAGGCCACCAGCCTTAGCAAAGCAGGGAGGACCTGGTTTCCATTACAGCACCCTAACAGGCACTAGTCAAGGACAAAATCCTTGTTCTTGCTCCCTCCATCTGGTGGAAATGCATCTGTTACAATGCTGTTTAGCAAGGTCCAACTCCAGAGCTCTAACTGTAGCAGTCTATGCTCTCTCAGGTGCAGAGGACCTCTAAGAGGCCAAACTAGTCCAGCTGCCAACCACTCAGGAAGCTTTCACTTGGCTTATCCAATGCACACACAGAAGCAGCTTTGTGGGTGTTGGTTTTGTGGTGGATATTTTGGTGTTGCTTGTTTTAATGCAGTGTGTGAATGTGCATTTACTTGCCTGTGGACGTTAGTTTTGTTTTACAACAAGCAGCTGTATCAATAAAATGCAATGATCTTCCTACCCCAGGAGGCTGTGCACGCAGAATTTCCATGGCTTCAGCATCATTCAGACCAAGCTGGAGCCACACAGGGTGAGTATGGAGGAGCTTATCCAATATGCTCAGCTTGTTAGACAGGCTGTCATATCCAGAGTCCCGAGGGCAGCCTTTTACATCCTTTTTCTCTGGAGAGACATTATCCATGTTCTTTACTAGACTGTGAAGAAACAAAGTTATGTGTTAGTCTCTTATAAACAATCCCTCAGTTCAGCAAACTGATCAACAAAACTAACGGCACTGCTGGCAGTCTAGACAGTTACTTCTTCTATTTAGAACTCATATTATTAGTACACATTCTCTTACCTGCATGATTTCTCTCTTTCACTTACCCCCAAGTTTAACAGCTAAGTGTAAGATAAGCTCCAGCATTATTCTATGAGCTTGCCAAAGTTCAGCAATCACTTTGAACGGATATAGATATACATACCTAGGTAAACTACCCCCTGTCTCTCCAGCACAGATAAGCTTCTCTAAGGCACAGCTTCACTGATGCACAATGGCAGATCTTTTCTCTTCTGCACTCTATGCTCTAACTTCTCAGCATATTTATATCTTTGCAAACAGAAGTCCTCCTCTCGCAACTCAGAATTACACCCCTCACAATAGACAAGGAATCAGATAGTTATACTCTTAATTCATTTGGCTCTGGATTGACTCCTCTGCAAAGAATGAAAGCAAAAGAAAAGCTAGTTTTGAATCAAAAAATCCAAGGAAACAGAGTACTTCAGGAGCTGCTTTTGCTATGCCAAGTTTCTCCATTAGTTGTGCATAATACAACACCCAGTACATTTGCATGTGTCACTTGCTCTAATTTTTGAGTTTAGAAGCACATCCTACCATCCTTCTAGGGCTAGGAATCATGCAGAGCAGTTACTCCAGTAACAACACTCCTGATGCTGATACTTGAGCACAGGTAAGAGCTAAGCAAATCAGTTACAGAGTCAGAAGAAACATCAGGTGCAGAGGCTGTGTTCTTCTGGCATCACAGGGGGCCCTGAACAGCAGAGGGCAATGCAGCTGCATCTCCCTGCTGCAAACTGAAGCTGTTCCAGACTGTTTCAGACACTCAGGAAGCATATTATGCCAGCTACTGTAATCAGAGCAAGTGCAGAAGAGGCTTCACAAACACAATAGCACTGAATTATAAAAAAAAAAAACAAACCAACCAACCAACCAACCAAGGATGAAAACAACAACAAAAACGCAATAACTTAAAGTCTTGTCTTGTTTTTTTCTAGTACTTTAGCATCTTACAGCATCTATGGACAGGGCAACAGAGGAAAACAAATGGCAATGGAGAGCTGCTTGATCTTCCTTGATTGCATGAGAACATTCAAAATTTCATTATCTGGATCACTTATCACCTATGCACTTTCTCCCTTCCTTTTGTCTTCATTACTGTTTGCTCACTTACGATATAACACCTTCTAGATTTGCAAGACATCTAAACTGCAGATACCTTCCCTCCCTAAGCACCAAAAAGCTGCCAATAGTGCCTTTCAGGGACACAGAACATACAGAAATATTGTGTGCAGAAGGGAATTAGTATTTACATGTTATGACAAGGCACCGAAACTGCCACAATAGTAGTTATTGGTTCTGCTTTCGACCACAGCCCCAGCAGAACCCAGCACTATAGCACATGAAACTCCACAAAAGTCAACTCATGAATTGTAGCAGTGCTTTCAGGAGCAGGACCTCCAGGAAATACTAAGCAGAAACTTCCCACTCACCTTCAGAACAGGTTACAGCCAGCAATGCTACAAACCAAAGATAGCTATGGCAAAATGAGTTATGCACAGACTCTGGCTGTGAGTTTAATTGCCCATTGGATGGAAACTAAATATGTTGCAGAGAGAATCTGTATGAGAGGGAAATAACTTTGCCAACGAAAAAGAATTGCATCACATGCAGAGGAAGGTGCAAAACTGGTATCAGTTATGAGGCCAGGCGCTGCTTGCTACCAGTCAGTTTGCAGACATACCCAGCTCACAGCACTCCTCCTTCATATGGGTGGCTTAATGTTGTCAAACACAGCCAAAGTCCTACAGATCCAACTTAGAATTTGAACAAAGGTTGCCAGGTTGTTTGGAACCTGTGGTTACTGAGGCTCACAGCCCCTCCCTTGTGCTCCCATCCATGGAGAAACACAGTGCATGAGTTCGTCATCTCTTTGAATGCAACATTATTTAGGACTGGGATTTGTGCATTACTTCTCTGGAAACAACAACAGTATGGAAAGAACCACCATATGAACTCCTCATGATCACCTGATTCACTGAAGCGTACAGAATAAGAAGTTGCTGTGACCTCTGTGCACCAGTACAACATGTTGTGTCGTGCAGCCATTATGTTGCTGGTGGAGGTTGTGGGGGTGTTCTGCGTTTGTCTTGTTTCATGCTAACTCCCAGAAACAGGCAGCAAAAAGGATGAAAAACTGGCTGAATCCCAGAACTAGGATGATCTCCCTCATGCCCACAGGGCTGTAACATACATCTTGATCACAAATCTGCAAAGCAAGTGCCCCTTTTCAGCCCTGCCTGAGATCTTCCTTTGGTTTGTATCTCTGTGTCTTGCTCTATCTGGTTAAAACCCAAACTTTCACCTATAGGTGAAACCTATAAATAGGTTTCTCCTATTTACTGTGGGACCGCTCCAGACTTTCTGCATTGACATACACTAGAAGAGATTTCTCCCTCTTTGGGAGTACAGTCACAGTGATGGTGCTTACATGCACATCCTGCACATACCAGGACGACCAACACTGTTCCATGGCTTCGCAGTGTTGCATTTAAGCAGCTCTACGATTTACCTTCACTCTCCCTATGAAAGATGGGATAATTTACCTGCCCTTCTGTGAGTGTGAGAAAAGTTGAGGGAAGGATCTAGATGACCACATCTGCTTCCTCACCATGAAGGAAGCTGGTTATCAGCACAACCTTGTTCTTAGCACGTCATCCCTGACATGCTCATTAGCCAACATGAAAGGGTTTGTGCACAGAGAGGAGAGTGGTGAGGGTCAGAGACTGGGCTGGATACAGTAATAAAGATGATTTACACTTGTTTAGCAGTGCAGCTTAACAAGCATTGCTGTCAGCTCTGCCAAGGTGAAAAGGTTTGCACAACACAGCCTCCAGGTTCATTACTCTCCCATCTCACTGTTAGTTGGCAGTGAGGAATATTTTGCCTGTTTCCATCATGATCACGAGGGCAAAGAGAACAGCAGTAGACACAGATGAAGAGAACCTTCCTAAAACTGCAAAGGGAACATTGGTTCAGCTCCAGTAAAGGCTTCCCACAGTTAACACAGTGTGACTCCTGACTGCAAGCATCTGGACTTCTGTAACTCCTGCAGTCTAGCAGGGTTTCATTTCACCAGCCAACTCACAGCAAGCATTAGGTGGGAGATGGCACTAAATCTCTGAAGATTATCTCCCATGCCTCAGTAACTGGATTGTCACATTCTTCTGCTTCCCGTTACAGCTGAAGGGATGGGACACAGCTGCCGAGGAAAAGGTTGGCAAATACCTACATACCTGTTAATGATAGCAACAACAATACCTGTCAACACTGTAAAGAGACCAACATAGAGCTACCAAGATGAGCAAGGGACTGCAGCATCTCTCCTATGAGGAGATGCTGAGAGAGCTGGGACTTTATCATAGAATAAAAGAGGCTCAGGAGATCTCATTAACAGCCATATAGACGCAGAAGGGAGAGTGCAGTGAAGTGGAGCCAGGCTCTGCTCAGTGGTGCCTAATTGCAGCAAGAGGCAATGGGTACAAACAAGAACACAGGACGCTCTCAATATTGCTTTTTCTCAGTACTACTTGTGTCATAGGCTTCAAAAGAGGAGGCATCTCCAAAATCTCACCAGGGGGACCCTACCTCAGTAAGTCACCACACAGCTATACACATCACTGAAGCTGCAGACATGAGGCTTCGTGGACTTCTTTGTGTACTTATTCCTCTGAACACAACCAAGACATCCCACAGACCTGACTTTCCACAGCTGTCCCAGCTGCGTGGCAAAGGTAAAAAACCAAGAATAACACACGTTCCTTCTGGGTCTAATTTCTCTAGATGCAAATGCAAAATCCAGATACCAACTTCTGGTTGCAGCGTACACAATAATAAAAGCATCTTACATCAATTATAAAGTTATAAAATAACTACAAAGTTATAATAGCAATGGTGGTTTTCAATAAGCACTCTGGAAAGCACTGTATGAAATGACTGCAATTTGCTTGGTAGTAACACACAACCAGAAGTTATCAGTTATATAATTTGCACCTACTTTTTCCTTCTGCAGAAGCCCACAGCTCAGATTTATGTAGTAATATAAAAAATGATGTTGATTAATTTATGCAGATCTCATATTTTATGTTACCTTAAACAGCTAACAGAAGATGATTTTATTTTGTTTAAGTTTGTTCACTCTTTGACTTCTGTTTCAATAGGAAACTTAATTCAATTAAATCTTCATGGAAAGCTCACTATTCACTTTCTGAGGTTAGCTTTACTAGCATTTTTAATCAAAACACATTTTGCACTCAAAACAATAGCTTTCATCAGAAAAATCTGTTAAAAATTATTAGCAAAATAGGGGAATGTAGTTGACTGTTTCCAATTAAGTGCTTTCACCAAGATTTTAGAGATAATGAATCTTAGTCTTTCATGCTTATGGTGCACTCAAGGATACAAGCAGCTTTAAAACTGAAAATTAGCTAACCATCATTGAAATTAATTAGCTGAATTCACTGAAATGAAGAAAGCATCCTTTCTGCCTCTGTAAAAGAACCACACTGTCAAAAGCTTTAGAACTTGAATAATGTGCAACCAAGGCCACAGGGAAGGACTTCAATTACCTCAGCTGTCTGTTCTTCACCACTCAGGCAACAAAGGTGCTGCTCAATGTTTTAGGTAACATGAATAATTTAAATGTAATGCAGTAAGGTTTTAGCACACTTCAGTAGTATTTACAGAAATAATAGGAAAAAAGTTTAAAAACCCATGGATGTAATTCTAAACAACCAACCCTTACCCATTTTGTGGAGCAAAGCCCACCAGGCTTCAGAGTAGACTCTGCAGCCCAATAAAACAGAACACTCACACCATTACTTTCCTCTTGCAACCAATACTTGAACAGTAAGTTAGAAAATAAAAAAAGATTTCACTTTAACACAGTGGTTAAAACATTCTCTGGATAACAATTCATCTGCCATTAACCATCAGGAATAACAGAAGCAAAGTGTTAGGGTCCCACTACACCCACTTAAACCTACAGGTTTACATCAAATTTCCAGTCCCACCTACAGCTGTTTCAAAAAGATGAAATTAATATCTGCATTACAAGATGAATCTCCAATTATTTTAAAGCTTACACAAATGCACTGATTTATCTAAAAAAACCCCAAACCATGAAAGATGCATATAAATGAGCTAAAATCCATATCCCACAGAAGTGTCAGCTTGTAGCAGTCTATTTTACTTAACAACCAGAGAACATAAATCACATCATTGTGAGTTGAATCTTCACAAATCCATCTGGAGCAATGGCCATTGTTGATCTGTACAATGTGAAAGTAAAGCTCGTTGCCATAAAAAATGGGAACAACATCAGTAGCTTCCTCTTTTGACCATTCATCTGCATGGCTGGCTTGCCACAAGAAAGCAGAAGTGAAGCTCAGCTGATTTATTAAAGATATTAAGGCAAACACAGACCAATTCAATCTCTGGGCATTCCTTCTGCATAAAAACAAACTCCTTTAACGAAGAGCAAGGTAATTTCCATCCTGGAAGCACAGGGGGGAGAGTGCTAGGAAGGAAAGCGCTAGTATATAAAGCACCCAAGGGAATAGCACAACGAAAACATTCCTGTCACAGCACACTGTCAAGAACTATGAGAATAAGCATTTTAATCACCTTCGCAAATCTGCAGGCTCATCTTCCACTGTGACATCTGTCTGAACCATCTCCTGTTTCAGTTCTCCGATTTCTGAGGCAATTGTGTCAATGAGCTAGAAAGGGACAAAAACAGTATGACGTCAAGCAAGTGGAAGAGGCGTGGAAAAGAAGCCTGGGTAAGCTTAGTCACCACAGATTAGAACCTTTTTTTTTTAAAAAAAAAAAAATCACATCCTATTTAAACTTCCCCTAGCAAAGGAAAAAGAGCTGGAAACAATCATTCTTGAAGGAAGTATAATTCCTGTTTTTTGCCCGTATAAAACTTTCCAGGCTGGTTAGTCTTGTTGTTTGTTTTCTTTTTTTTTTTTTTTTTAAGCATTTTAAATCTGTAGCCTTCACAATCAGATTACACAACAGCCTAAATAGTAAGTCATCTGACCAATTGTAGCAGTAATTGAAAGCAATTTGATTTCTCAGATAAATAGAAAAGATTCAGAAGAGTTCCAACCATGAGTTATTTCAGAAGAAACGCTAAGCCAGCGTTACAATATTTTGGCAGGTGAAAAGTAACAAAGCCATAAGCAAATGGGAGCTGCTTTCCACATTAGGCACTGGACTGAACTCGAACAGAGCACTTAATTAAAAGAGAACTACATCATAACACTTCAGTGCAGATGGAACATGATCCTATGGAACGTGAAACTCATTTTAAAGTGGGCTAAATTAGCACTAAGGCTGCATATTGAGAACCGTAGCACTGGCTGGCCAGATGTCTGGGAGGTGTTTTGGTGGGAACACAGCAGAGATCAACTGTGAAGTTCACAAGGCTTGCTGTCTTGGACGTTCTTTGCAGGAACTGCATCAGGCCTGCCTGACAGGCAGCACACTGCAATGTACATAAACATTCTGGCAGACAGAGCAAATCCAACTTTCCAATCCAGCTAAAACAGCCATATTCTCATCACCTAGAAGACCCAGGCATCCCAGCCACGAGGCAGCTCCATACAGCAGCATTTTCAAAGACTCGTCATTATTAAGCAAAACCTCAGAAATTCACTTCTTTAGTGTATGGCTTTAGTCCTACTAATCTTCCAGCTGCTGCCCCTCATGCAGCCCAAGTGACTTTGAGCTGTGCCCTCCTGCCCTCAAGGAGCAGCAGCCGGAGGAACCTGCACTGTGCCGACAGGTTGGGCCTCACCACAGCGTTCTGCTTTATTCACAAAATCAGCTCAACATTAACTTAATTCAACATGGAGAAGCAGATTAGAAGTCTAAAAAGACAGAAGAAATATGTTTCTCTTCCAAGCTGTGATTAATAGTAGAAGAACCAGCTCTACAAGGTCTATATCTTTCAGGAGCAACCTGCTGCAGTCTCATTGCAGTAATCATTCTGGAAGGGACCTTGAAGTGCACCCAGTTCCAACTTGGAAAGGGCCTCAAAGCCCCCCCAGCCCCAGTAAAGGCTGCCCAGGGCCCATCCGACCTGGCCTTGGGCACCTCCAGGGATGGGGCACCCACAGCTCTGGGCAGCAGTGCCAGGGCCTCACTGCCCCGAGTAAAGAATTACCTCCTAAATAACCGAAATCTTCCCTCTTTTAGTTTAAAACCATTCCCTCCCTCCTATCACTTTCTACTTGTGTAAAGAGTTGGTCCCTCCCCTGCATATAAGCTCTCCTCAAGTACAGGAAGGCTGCAATGAGGTTTCCCCAGAGCCTTCCCTTCTCCAGACTGAACAAACCCACCTCCTTCAGCCTTTCTTCATACAGGAAGTGCTCCAGCCCTCTAAGCATCTTTGTGACCCTCCGCTGGGCACTCTCCAACAGCTCTGCATTTTTCTCGTGTTTGTGTTCTTGCTATTGACTGACACATAGTGATACATCAGAACCCAACAAGTTATTCCTATCAAATACCACAAGGTAAATGAATATACAACCTAATTTCTTGTATGATGAGCATTGTATAGAGGAGCTTTTGCTTCTATAAAATGCAGCAAGGATCCTGTGTGTAACAGTATTAGAACAAATCCTGAGAAAACTGGCAATTCTGCTTTTTAGTGAAAGGACCAGAACATTGGAACTCTATAAGCAGACCACTCTGTTCACAAGGAGTACAACTCCTGTTTTGCTGAAAATAATGGGAAGATCCATCTACTAGCTTGAACAGAAATGAAATCAAGACCAAAGACGGCAGCTTCCAAAAGTTGCGTAAAACAACGTATAAGGACGGATCCAGAAGTAATGCCTCCTATTTCATTATGTTGGCTCACAACATCAGCAGTGGATGCTGGTGGGATGGCAGTAGAGGCTGAACCTTCCCACCAACATCCCATATCCATCTGCGTGACAGATGGCAGCAGGGGAGCAGTCTGACAGAATGGCACCTGACATGGAAGTGTGTATGGAACAAAAATGTGTCACTGCAATCTTCCATGTGAAAAAAATGGCACTACTGACTGTCAGTTATACTTGCTGAACACTGATGGAGACCAACCAGTGGATGTAAGCGCAATAAGGCGGTGGGTGGTGCATTTCAGCAGTGGTGACAGTGGGTCACCTCCATTGGTGCAGGTTTTCATCAGCACAGCACGTAGGCTCCTGTTCATAACTGGTGAAAATGCACAGCTGATGGTGGTGACTGAGTTCAAAAGTAGTGTTTTGTAACTGAGAATCCGCTCTATCAAGTAATGTTATTGTGCTCTTTATATCTGTTGTAGCTTCCACGGAAATAAATAGGAGGCATTACTTTTGGAGTGACCCATGTGGATGGGATCCAAACCTTAAATATCTGTCTGCAACAGATCTCTTCAGAACTCTGACATAAATACTACCTTGCTCTGCTACAGAAAGAAGAGGCTTTTTATAAAATTTTGTTTTATAAAAATGCATCTTAAAGCATGATATCAGTCCAGGTGGTAAACAACCAATTAAGCAGAACTAAAATCAAGCAGAACTTAAATAATATGCTAACTAGCTACTCTGGTGTCTAATTTTTTTCCTTTTTTTATTACTGACAAAGCACTGTTCTGTAAGTTGAAAAGAAACAGTACGACCACTGTAAACCCAAACAATGACTCAGACAGTATGAGTTCACATAGTATCACAGTAAGATATTTCCTAACCAAACCTATCCTAAACATTAGATTGCCACAAATACCCATGCACTAACTGTTTACGTTCCTAAAATCCATGAATGAAATAATGACATGCAAACATCTTAAAACCACAGTGTTTCCTTTCATAAAGCATCAAGCAATGCTTGTTGTCAGCTGATTCTTCATTCAGCAGCTTTTAGAAACTGGCAGCGGTGACAATGTAATTTCCATATACAGACCACAAACATAACTCACCACAGCTTTTCAGTCTTCTTTCAGCAGAACAAATACATCTCAGTTTTACATCCTCCAGGATGTCTTGTGAACAGCAAAAATCAGAGCATGCTCTGAACTGCAATATATTCCTTAGAAGCAATGCACTCTTGAGGTGCTGCAGTCTAAAGGTGACACACGTTACTGTTGTGCATCTCAGAAAGCACAGGCTGACCAGAATGAGAAACAGAGTAGGTCCTTTTGTGGGAGCCCAGCATAGCTACAGGGTTGTTTTACTCATTCAACTCCTGAAGAGTCTCCCAGTTTGAAGAGGGAACCACCACAGCAAACCAAATTCTTGTTGTCTGTATTAAAGTGTAAATAAGCTTGTAAATAGAATTAACGAAGCTGCTGTCTTTCTTAAAGCACATTAAAAGAGCTAAGACAGCCACTGCAGAACGTTTCCAAGCTCCATGCCCTACAATAGCTAAGGAGCAAAAGGTAAGATCGGTGTTTCTAATCTGGGAAGAGAGCATGGGCTGAAGGCAACACAGGGAAACATCAGAAGGACAAGCGAGCCCTAGCACTTACCTCCTTCCTGCCAGCCTCTCATTTTTCATTTTTCCCGTATCCTCTTGGCACGTCATCTTTTACTTCCTGTTTTGCTAAGCAGAGTGCAGCAGCCCTCCACAAGCACCCTGTGTAACGAGGTGGCAAAGTGCCAGCAATGAACCAAAAAGGGAATGCTATTTCTGGACTCCTCTGTACCTCTATATACAACTACACATTCGGCTATGTGGCTGCGATTTTGGTTATTTTGCACAGGGAAGTATTAATTTCCAAACCACTAACACTATTCACCACCTTATTTATCTGTACCAACAAAGTTTCAACTGGTATTTGATTTGGGGGAGAGAAAAGCTTCAGTAATGTAAAACTTCTGATATCAGCTGAGTTCAGCTTGACAAGTGGATAAAGTTTTGATGAGAAGGAAGTTGGTAAAAGGATGCTTGTCAGAGATATGTTCTGTTCCTTGCTTTACCACAGACTGTCTCTGTGGGCACTGGCAAGCTTTTCAGGCCCAGAATTGCCCAGCTGAACTCCATCTCCACTTCCCTTCTACAACTTTCTGTTGCAGCCTTCATCAATTGCGAGTCCTAGGTATAAAGACTTGGGAGAGTTTACACTATAAACACACAAACTGTCCCTCTGTAAAACGGGGATAGTGCTTTTCTGGTGTACTAACAGCTCAGGGGACGACTGTGAAAATAATATGAGATGGTTGGAAGCTACAGAAAGTGGAATTATTTCAGAACCAAATAGAAAAGGAAAGCTGGGAATTTCTTCACTAGTTGTTGCCAGTGACCAGGTCTTCTAAACACAGACACACAAAGTAAATTCATAGTCACAAAATAGCTGGGGTTGAAAGGAACCCTTAAGATCATCTAGTCCCAAGTCTATTGCTGTAGGCAGGGCTGCCTCTCACTAAACCAGGTTGCTCACAGCCCCATCCAGCCTGACCTTGATTAAAATGACAAATCTGATGTGTCAAGTGTTTGCTTCCCTCACTCACCTGACTGCAGCAAATGTACACATTTTCATAATTTTACATGCACAAGTGAGGAAAAGGAGGATAAGGCAATGTAACTGTACACACACAGACATATACACTGCTGCCTGCATGCCTTCCCAACTCCACATCATAGGT